CAGAATCCAGGGCTGTCTCTAGCTCCAAGGCTGAAACATGACCTTGGACTCTGCCCACACATCGGCAGGCTGTTTCGAATGTGCACCCCCAAAATGTTTCAAACCGCTCAGGAGCTGCTCCCCGGCCTGAAAGTGAAGTTAATAAAAGCTCCGGCCTCCCGGGCCTGGTCTGAGAATGAACCAAGCTGATGTTTGCACAGCAACCCCAAGGACTGTGTCTGGCTTTTTAAGTCAGCACTTTATAAAAAGCATTTGTTGAGTACATCAAAGAAAATGCAGGGGCCAGAGCAATAGCACAGCATGAAGGGCACTTGCCTTGCATGCGAATGACCCGGGTTGAATCCAAGTGTCCCTGGTGTCCCCCCTGAGCCTGTCGGGAGTGATTCCTGAGTGCAGAGCCAGAAGTATTCCCTGAACACTGCCGGTGGCGGCCCCAAACAAGCAAAAAGAAATCCTTCAAGCACGCTGACTCTTCTCCACACTGCAACAGCTCTGGCCTGAGACCCCAACTTTTGATGCATCACCGGGGGCCTGGGTCTCAAACCTCCCTACTTGGAAGCTGTGGCTTGCTACCATGATTCTCCAGGATGTGGCAGAGATGCCTCAGCTTGAAGACCAAAGTGTTTCACACCGGGCCTCCCTGAGGTCAGGAAGGTTGGACCAGTTACTTTTTTTTTTTTTTTTAAAGGGTCTTGCTCTACTTGAAAGCAAACCCAGAGGGCCTGGAGTGATAGTTCAGCAGGCAGGGTGAGGCCTTGTGTGAGGGCGACATGGGTTTGATCCCTGGCATCCCCAAGGAAGGCCAGGAGTGATTCCTGAATGCAAAGTCAAGAGTAACCCCTGAGGAGCCATAGTGATAACACAACAGGTAGGTCATTTGCCTTGCACTCGGCTGACCTGGGTTCGATCCTCGGCATCCCATATGGTCCTCCAGCACCACCAGGAGTCATTCCTGAGTGTAGAGCCGTAAGTAATTCCTAAGCATCGCCAGGATGAGACAAAAGCAAACAAAAACGAACCAGAGACAATGGAGAGGTAGTACAACGGGCTGGGGGCTTGTCTTGCATGCCACTAAGGGTTCGATTACTGACACGTCTTAGGGTTCCCCTCACCCTGTTAGCGTTGATCCCTGACTATAGATCAAGCATAGACTCTGAGCATCCTTGCATGTGGCTGAAAAAAGAAATAATAAATTTTTTTCTTTTTTTCTTTTTCTTTTTTTGCTTTTGGGATCACACTCGGCGATGCCCAGGGGTTACTCCTGGCTTTGCATTCAGGAATCACTCCTGGCGGTGCTCGGGGGACCATATGGGATGCTGGGAATCGAACCCGGGTCTGCCGCGTGCAAGGCAAACGCCCAACCCGCTGTGCTATTGCTCCAGCCCCGAAATAATAATTCTTTAAAAACTTAAGAAAAAAGGGGCTGGAGCAATAGCACAGCGGATAGGGTGTTTGCCTTGCACGCGGCCAACTCGGGTGCGATTCCCAGCATCCCATATGGTCCCCAGAGCACCACTAGGAGTGATTCCTGAATGCATGAGCCAGAAGTAACCCCTGTGCATCCCTGGGTGTGACCCGCCCCCGAAAATAAAGTAATGTGGAGTTTACGCCCAATTCAATCAGCTTAATCAATGACTAAATAAACAGCAGTCACTGTCACTGTCATCCTGTTCATCGATTTGCTCGAAGGGCCCAGTAACATTGTGAGACTTGTTACTGTGTTTGGCATACTCCTACATTTTTTTTAAAGAGTTTCTGAGACTATATAATCAAGGGATATTATTGGGATTATTTGAACCCAGAGCCTCATACACTTGAACACAGGCCCTCTACACTGAGCCCCAACCTCAGCTTTGTCCTGAGACATTTCAAGGTTCTAAAATGACACCAAGGGATTAGAGAATAAACAGATGAATTTGGAAGGTATCATGCTGAGTGAAATGAGCCAGAAGGTGAGAGACAGATACAAAATGACTATTCATAGTAACAGATAAAAAAAATGGCATGATGGGACTGGAGTGATAGCACAGCGGGTAGGGCATTTGCCTTGCAAATGGCAGACCCAGGTTTGATTCCCAGCATCTCATATCATTCCCTGAGCACTGTCAGGGGTAATTCCTGAGTGCACAGCCAGGAATAACCCCTGCGCATCACTGGCTGTGACCCAAAAAACAAACGGAAAAAAAATGTCATGAGACTAATATCCAAGGCCAAGGAAAACGGAAGTCAGAAGAACTTATTAATGGTTGGAATCAATCATAAGTGTGTGAAGAGTGGAGGGTAGATAAGGTAGAGAAGGGACCAGTATGACAATAACTAGAAATGATCAAGCCAGATAAGAACCCGGTATTGAGAGCAGGTAAGGGAATATACCTGATAAGCTATAGGTATTGCAATCCATAATGCCCCAAGGAAGAGAGTGTGTGTTCCTACTGGCTGTCACAGAGGCAGGACGGGAGGGCAACTGGGAAGACCTGTGCTGGGAAATGTACACTCGTGGAGAGTACGTGAGTGTTGCAACACGGTGTGACTGAAACCCAATCATGAAGAGCTTTGTAAAGGGGTATATCGTGGTGACTCAATTAAAATATAGCAGCGATAGCACAGCAGGTAGGGCATTTGCCTTGCACGCGGCCAACATGACCGGCCCGAGTTCGATTCCTCTGCCCCTCTCAGAGAGCCTGGCAAGCTACCGAGAGTATCTCACCCGCACGGCAAAGCCTGGCAAGCTCCCCATGATGTATTCGATATGCCAAGCACAGTAACAAGTCTCACAATGTTACTGGGCCCGCTCGAGCAAATCCATGGACAATGGGAGGACAGTGACAGTGACAGAATAATAATAAAAGGTGGGGGGAGGAGCTAGAGAGACATTAAAACGGGGAGAGCTCTTGCCGTGCAACGCTGCTAACCCAGGTTCAATCCCCAGCACCCCATATGGTCCCCAAAACCCCACCAGGAGTGATCCCTGAGCCAGGAGTAAGCCCCTGAGCACCACCTGGTGTGGACCCCAAACCAAAATAAATCAGTAAGTAAATAGATAACCTAAAAAAAAAAAAAAAACACCCTCCAACTCTTTTCCTCCAGAAAGGTTCTCCAATTTCCACTCCTGATGAGGCATAGGAGATCTGCTCTCGTTTTTTTTTGTTTTTTTTTTTGCTTTTTCGGTCACACCCAGCGATGCACAGGGGTTACTCGTGGCTCTGCGCTCAGGAGTTACTCCTGGCAGTGCTCAGGGGACCATATGGGATTCTGGGAATCGAACCCGGGTCGGCTGCTTGCAAGGCAAATGCCCTACCAACTGTGCTACTGCTCCAGGCCAGCCCCTGGTCGTTACTTCTAATACATTTGCTATGGCTATCTTGGCCCTGGGACTGAAGATAGAACAGAGGGCAAGGCATTGGTCTTGCACGTTCCCAATGCTGATTCGATCTCTGGCACTGCTTGCTATGCACCAAGTCCCAGGGGGAGTGATTCCTGAACCCAGAGCCAGGAATATATAAGCCCTGAGCACTGCCAGGTGTAGTTAAAAAGGGCGAAGGGTGTCGGGTGGAGTGATCATGCTGAGTGAAATGAATCAGGGGAAGAGGGACAGACATAGGATGATGAGACATAGAATGATTGCACTCGGAGGCGGGACATAAAAATCAAATAAAACAGGGGCTGGAGCAATAGCACAGCGGGTAGGGCCTTTGCCTTGCACGCAGCCAACCCAGGTTCGATTCCCAGCATCCCATATGGTCCCCTGAGCACCGCCAGGGGTGATTCCTGAGTGCAGAGCCAGAAGTAACCCCTGTGTGTCGCCAGGTGTGACCCAAAAAGCAAACAAACAAACAAACAAAAACAGAAAAAACAAACAAATAAAATAAAATAAAATAAAACAAAACAACACAGTATGTGAATAATATACCCAAAAAGTAGAAGCAAGGTCTAGGAGGACTGGTTCAAGCGGGGAAGGTTGCCACAAAGCGGGAGATGGAAGGCAGTTAGAACACAGAAGGGAACACTGTGACAATGATAGTTGGAAATGATCACCCTGGACAAGAACTGAATGCTGAGAGGAGGTCACGTGATATGCATGATATGCTTTCAGTAACAGTGTTGCAAAACCACAGTGCCTAAAAGGAAAATGTGTGTGTGTGTGTGTGTGTGTGTGTGTGTGTGTGTGTGTAAGAGAGAGAGAGAGAGAGAGAGCACCTTTAGGTGGACCCCAAATACCAAAAAAGAAGGAAAAAAAATAAATAAAACATGAAAACCAACACAAAACGCAAGCATAGCAGGGTTACATTATTTATTTTTTAATTTTTTGCTTTTTTGGGTCACACCCAATGGCAATGCTCAAGGGTTCCTCCTGGCTCTGCACTCAGGAATTCCTCCTGGCGGTGCTCGGGGGACGGTATGGGATGCTGGGGATCGAACCCGGGTTGGCCGCGTGCAAGATAAACACCCTCCCAGTTGTACTATCACTCGGGCCCAGTAGGGCATTTTTATTATCCTACGGAGCAAAGAAAGACCTGAACACCCACAAAAGCCCCACCCACCCACCCCAAACCTCCAATTAGCCGCTTCTGAAGCAAATTACTATGGGGACTCTTACCCGGAGGCCGCAGAACCGTTGGATAATGATAATTATAACGATAATGCAGAGTTCCTCAGAGGGGAAGGGGTGGCTGGCGGTCAGCGCCCCCCCCCACATTCCCCCTCCCCCCTGCACCCCGCCACTCCGTCCGAAGATCAGATGCTGAGATAGCAGCGCCCCCACGCAACCCCGGGTCAGCCCTCCCTCCGCCTGTCCACCCGGCCCGGTCCAGCACCGCATCCCTCCCCGAGCTGGAGGCGAGAGGAGGGGTGGGACAGGGGCGTCCGCCGAGCGCGCGTGGGGTCGAGCGCAGGGGTGGGGTCGCGCCACGCGGCTCGGCCAATGGCAGCGCGCGCTGGGCGGCCCGGCTGTCCGCGCCCCGACGGCTGAAAAACCAGGCGCGCCCGAGGGAGGCGGCGAAGGCGGACGGACGCGCGCGGCGGATCCGCTGTCCGAGCCCGGCGCGCGCCACCCCGCGGGACTCCGAGCGCGTGCACACGCCTGGCTGCGCCTGGCCGGCCCCTCGCCAGCCGGCGTCTCCGAGGCCCCCCTCCCCCCCGGCCCCCCGATGGCTCCCGGATCCCCGGTCCAGGGGCCCGGCCCGCGCTACTTCACCTGGGACGAGGTGGCACAGCGCTCCGGGCGCGAGAAGGAGCGATGGCTGGTGATCGATCGCAAAGTGTACGACATCAGCGAGTTCGTCCGCCGCCACCCGGGGGGCTCCCGGGTCATCAGCCACTACGCGGGCCAGGACGCTTCGGTGAGCGCGCGCTGCCCGATCGGGGACCGGGGGGCCACGGGACCGCGGCCCGCCCGGCACCTCGGGCACCGAGGTTGGGGGGGTGACCCGAGCAGACCTGTTGCCTGATGTGCCCGGGCCAGGAGAGACGCGGGGCGTGCCAACGGAGCCCCGGGAACCGGGGGTGGGGTGCAGGCCTGCAGCGTGCACGCTCGAACAAAGGGCCGCGGCGCCCGGCCCAGCTCGGCGGTCTCTGGCGGGGACAGGCCCCGGAGCTGACCGGGAAGGAAGGGGACAGTCCCGGGCTGGCCCGCGCGCTGCTGGCGGGGAAGGGCGCGCAGCGGGTTCCGTATTGGCCGCGGTAGAAGTCTCCCTCGGGGACCAACTAGGCCGAGGCGGGACGCCACCTGCGCGCGCCGCTCCGGGGACTCCCTGCCCCGGGTGATGGCACGGGTTATGGGTTATGGGCTTTGGGGCACATGGGGGGGTGGAAGGCGGCGAGCTGCAAGTGAGGGTCTCCGGCCTCGGCCCAGCTACTTCTAGGGTCTTGGCACCCAGAGGTCAGAGCGTCCGCGCGCAGCCCCTCTGGACCCTCTCCAGTCCCATTAGGGGCCCGCGGTGTAACCATCCGGTGTCCCCACCCTCGGCTCTCCCAAAGTGTGCCTGGGGCCACCAGGCTTCCGGCCCGTCGCCACCGAGTTTAGACGCCCCCAGGCGGGCAATCGCGCACCCGCTTCATCCGCCGGGGGCCCGGGGCGGGGGTGGGGCCGCGGCCCGAGGCTGCACGCGCCTCGGGAGTCCCCCGGCAGAGTGGGACCGCGGCGAGGCGTGGCCCGGCGCCTGCGCACACGGAGCCGCCGCAGCCCCCCGGGCTTCCCGCTGCGCGCCCTTGGGGGCCGGGATGGCCGGGGCGGGGGCCGGCGATTGGTCTGGGACGCGTGGTGCCACCGGCTGCCGGCTCCGCCCCGGCGGCTCCCGCCGTTGTGCCGGGCCTGGGGCCCGACCTAGGAACGGAAGAAGGATGGGCCCCACCTCCCCTAATCCAGAGGCGCCACCCCGGGGCTGGGGGGGGGGGCGGGGAAGGACGAGTTTCCCGGGAAACCTGGAAGTTCCCGGATCCGCGCCAGGCGTGCAAACTTGCCCTGTTCACACACTGGACTCTTGTCGCCCTGCCTGCGGTTTATGGGGAAAGAGGGGTTTGCTTAAAGGACCCACAGCGGGCACGGTGCTTGCTTTGCACGCGAAAGGGCCGGGGTCCGAGTGATATATAGTACATTAGTGATATATAGTACGTGCCTTGCACGTGACTGACCTGGGTTGGATCTCGAGCACTGCTAGGTGTAATTTCTGAGTGCAGAGAGCCCTGAGCATCTCCGGGTGTGGTCCTACCCCCCACTCCCCAATATTAAAGGGCCACGGAGAAATTCCCAGAAGACTCTGTATCCCACCCAGTCCTCTGGCCGCTTCTCTGCTCCACCTTAAGTCCTGTGGTGCAGAACTGATCCATCGTTCTGTTCCGCCTCACGGGCGCCTCATAGCAGAACACAGATGCTGGCTGAACTGGGGCTTGGGCATCTCCGGAAGTGCCGGGACACCCCAGAAAGGCAGCCGGCTAGAGCACGGGGTGTCTGTGAAGCCAGCACACTCATCTGCCCCTCGGGAGCCCGCTAGCACCCCTCTGCCAGCCTGCCTGACGCCCACCTTGTCCTCCTCACCCCACAGGAACCTTTTGCAGCCTTCCACATCAACCAAGGCCTGGTGCGGAAGTACATGAATGCCCTCCTGATCGGGGAGCTGGCCCCGGATCAACCCACCTTTGAGCCCAGCAAGAATGTAAGACCCGGGGCTGGAGCACAATAGCACAGCGGGGAGAGCGTTTGCCTTGCACGCGGCCGACCCGGGTTCGATTCCCAGCATCCCATATGGTCCCATGAGCACCGCCAGGAGTAACTCCTGAGTGCAGACCCAGGAGTAACCCCTGTGCATCACCGGGTGTGACCCAAAAAGCAAAAAAAAAAAAAAATTCAGGGGGCTGGAGCAATAGCTCAGCTGGTAGGGCGTTTGCCTTGCACGCGGCCGACCCGGGTTCGATTCCCAGCATCCCAGAGGGTCCCCCAAGCACTGCCAGGAGTAACTCCTGAGCGCAAAGCCAGCAGTAACCCCTGTGCATCGCCGGGTGTGACCCAAAAAGGAAAAAAAAAGAATGTAAGACCCCCATGGAGTGGGAGGGAGGCCCAGACGGACCCCCAGGAGCCTCCCGTCTGGAGATCCTAAGGGAGCTGAGCTTAGAGCCCCTCGACTTCCACCACCCAGCACCGAGCCGTCCGCGCGCCTGCTCGGTGGACAGGCAGTCCCCACGTCGAGGCTCGGAGAGGTGACCTGCCCGCACAGAGACTGAGATGCACCCGCTGCAGCCGCCCTTGCTGGGGGCGGGGGTGGGAGGGACCTCACCTTTCCCGGTGGCCTCCCCCCAGCCATGCTGGCGAGGGGGGGGGGTAGTTGGGTGCAACTGGACAGAATGACAGGCCTGCCCTCCCCCGTCTGTTCCCTGCCCCTCCCAGAAAGCCCTGGTGGAGGAGTTTCGGGAGCTGCGGGCCAACGTGGAGCGGATGGGGCTCCTGAAGGCGGACCCCGTCTTCTTCCTGCTGCATCTGCTGCACATCCTGCTGCTGGACGTGGCGGCCTGGCTCACGCTGTGGCTCTTCGGCACGTCCCTCGTGCCCTTCGTGCTCTGCGCAGTGCTCCTGAGCGCGGTGCAGGTGAGGGAACCGGCCCCCGAGCGAACCCGGGGCCTGAATCACACGGAGTCTGCGCTTCCTCACGGCCGCTCCTGCTAGGGTGCCCCTGCTTCCTGCGCGGGGGGCTCAGGTGGGTTCACGTGTCAGCCCGGAACCCAGCAGACGGCGGCCGCCACCGGGCCCAAACAGTGACACGGGGGACGCCCCTGCCTTGCCCTCAGGAGCCCTACTGCCCAGCCTTGGCCTCCCGCCTGTGCTCTGGGATGTGGAGGAGTGGGGAGGGAGGGGAGGGAACAGCCATCTGCCCCAGCTCCCCCCACGTACACACTCGCACCCGCGCGCCCCACCCCCACCCGCCCCCGTGGGTGCCGGCGAGAAGCGGCAGCGCTGCCTTCTGCCCCCAGGCCCAGGCCGGCTGGCTGCAGCATGATTTCGGCCACTTGTCCGTCTTCCCCACGCCTGCATGGAACCACTTGGTGCAACACTTCATCATGGGCCACCTGAAGGTCCGTGGGATTGAGGACGGGCGCGGGGCGGGGGATTGTTTTTTTTTTTTTTGTGGGGGGGGGTCTGGGACACCACATTCGACTCTCAACGCCCACGTCCCTGCCGTGTCCTAGGGGGCGCCGGCCAGCTGGTGGAATCACTTGCATTTCCAGCACCACGCCAAGCCCAACTGCTTCCGCAAAGACCCGGATGTCAACATGCACCCTTTGTTCTTCGCCTTGGGGAAGGTCCTATCTGTGGAGGTGAGAGGCCAGCGGAACCCCGTCAGCTGCGGTGTGTGTGTGAGGGGGAGGGGGGGACCACTCACGGATGCTGGCGGCGTGGGTAGGACATGCGGGTGGGCACGTTGGAAGTGCAGAAGGCGGACTTCGAGGCTCACCATCGTGTCGCACAGACTAACACCCCCCCACCACCCGCAACTGGTGCCTGCAAAGGAATGGCAGGAGACCCCCTGCACGGGTCATCTTTGCTTTTGGGGTCACATCCAGCGATGCACAGGGGTCACTCCTGGCTCTGCACTCAGGAATGACTCCTGATGGTGCTGGGGGACCATATGGGTTGCTGGGGATTGAACCCTGGTCGACCACGTGCAAGGCAAACACCCTACCCTCTGTGCTATTGCTCCAGCCCCTGCATGGGCTATCCTTGGGGGTGCTTATGGACACGACAACCCTGTGTCAGTCACACCCCCCTCTCTAGAGCTTGAAGCCCCGCCTCGCAGTGTCGGTCTTCTCTATCAGGGCGGGCATGTTCGCTCTTAGATGCTCAGGGCCCAGAATATTCCAACACTTCCTGTTTGGCCCGACCACACGTGACCTCCTAGTTGCTGGGTGTGAGGCAGCCGTGTATTTCAAAGGAATGCTGGAGGGGGCTGGAACGATAGTAAAGCGGGTAGGGCATTTGCCTTGCACGCGGCCGACTCGGGTTCAATTCCCAGCATCCCATATGGTCTCTTGAACCCCGCCAGGAGTGATTCTTAAGTGTAAAGCCAGGAGTAACCCCTGTGCATTGCCAGGTGTGACCCCCCCCAAAAAAAAAGGAAAAGAAAAGAGAAAAATAAAGAATGCTGGAACCCTTTGTCCAAGAGGCCCCAGGGGACAGAATTCTGCCCGTTCCCCTCACCTGGGGTGCCCTGCCAGCAGTTCCCTGATGGCCCCAAGTCTCCTCTCCTTCCTGCCTATGAGGACGACTCTGCCAAGCCTTCAGTACCCTCCTGGGTGGCCCCAACCCCCACTCCCTAAGCATGACCTGTGTGGGTGGCACATGCAAGGCCAGGGACCTGCCCCTGTCCCCACCAGCCACTTTCGAGCAGTTACTTATTGGGCAGAGGGTTGAGGAGGCCACTGGAACTCAGCGTCTAGGGTCAAAAACTGGGACCTGAGTGATAGTACAGAGAGCAGGGCTCTCACCCTGCACGAGGCCGACCCAGGTTCGATCCCCAGTATCCCATAGTGTCATTCCGTGACAGACCCTCCTGCCCCACTGGCCTCTGTCTGAGAGGCAGAGCAAGAGCTGTGGCCACTCTGGCCGGTTTCGGCCCTTTGGGGAGGCTGGGTATCTGCAGCCAGCCGGCCTGGGTCATGAAATGCCGGGCAGGGGGTTTGGGGAGGAGCCGACTTTGATTCAGGTTGGCGGGGCCCCACCTGGCCGCCCGCGCATGCGCCTCAGCATCTCCCCAATATCCCGGAGGGCATGGGGTTCCGGGACACCATGGTTTGTGAGGCTCCGGACACCAGGTACGGGGCAGCTCACGACCCTGGCTGTCAGTCGAGGGAGGCAGTGTGGTGGGGGGGCCCTTCCCCACCACTGCATACGGGTTGGGGTGCGGGAAGCTTTGACCGGACGTTGCCCCAGACCAGACTCTCCTCTCCCAGGACTTCTCCCCCAACTTCCACTCGGCAAGGCTCCTGCTACTGTCCCCTGACACACCCCAAAATCCAGTTTCCTGGCTTTGCCAGCGCTTAGCAGGGCCCCGGTGTCCCCTCAGAAGCCCCCTCAGAATCCCTGGCAGGGTACCCAGCAGGTGGTCCCGCACCTACTGGAAGCCCCGCCCCCTTCCCCTCCGGCCCCTGCCCTCCCCTCCTGATGCTAGGGCTGCCCCTTTCAGAGCGGATTTTGGGTTTCATTTTGGTGGGTGGGGGTCCCACACCTGGCATTGCTCAGGGTGTATGTTCCTGGCTCTGCGTTCAGGATCACTGCTGGCGGGGTAATCAGAAGGGGTCTTGAGGATCGAACCCCTGTTGTCCATGTGTAGGGCAAGCACCCTACCCGCTGTACCCCTATCTCACAGGCCTCCCTGGAGCACACCCCAGGTCCCTCTGCGTGTCCTCCCAGAACTCACACGAGGCTGATTTCATGTCCACCTCTTGGCTCGGGGACACTACCTCTGACCCCACCCCCAACGCCCACCCCTGCACCCCTCCCCCTTCTATCCATGAGACAAGCTTCATTCATCCACGACTTTCTCGAAAACCCCTTCCGCCGCAGTCTCTCCGAGGGTCCGAGTTCTGTGCTGCCAACCACGGGCTGCATCCTCAGCACCCACATGTCTCCTGGCCTGGTATCGGGGCTTCATGGAGACGTGTCGGGCTGGATGGAGAGAGGGCTCAGGAGGCCGGACTCTTTCTTTTTTTCTTTCTTTTTTTTTTTTTTTTTGCGTTTTAGGTCACATCCGGCGATGCTCAGGGGTTACTCCTGGCTCATGCACTCAGGAATCACTCCTGGCGGTGCTCCAGGGACCATATGGGATGCTGGGAATCGAGCCCGGGTCGGCCGCATGCAAGGCAAATGCCCTACCCGCTGTGCTATTGCTCCAGCCCTTCTTTCTTTTTTCTTAAATTTTTATTAGTGAAACACCATGAGGTACAGTTGTAGACTTACACATTTTTGTGCTTGGGTTTCAGTTATACAATGATCGAGTACCCATCCCTCCACCAGTGGCCATTCTCCACCCCCAATGATCCCAGTATCACTCCCACCCCCCTATCCCCCACATCCCATCCCGCCTCTGTGGCAGGGCATTCCCTTTTGTTCTCTCTCTCCTTTTGGGTGCTGTGGTTTGCAAAAGAGGCATTGAGTGGCAATCATGTTCGGTCTATAATCTACTTTCTGCATGCATCTAACATCCTGGGAGGATCCTCCCAACACCCTTTACTTGGTGCTCCCTTCTCTATCTGAGCTGCCTTTTCCCCTAACATATGCGGCGGGCCTCCAAGCCATGGAGTGGACCTCCTGGTACTTATCTCGGCTATTCTTGGGTGTTAATCTCCTATTTTGTTACTTTATGTTCCCCAGATGAATGCTCAGATGACATCTTTCTATGTCTGTCCCTCTCTTTCTGACTCATTTCACTTGGCATGATACTTTTCCATGCAGTAAGGAGGCCGGACTCTTACTCCACCTGTGGCTGACCCCCTTGGACCCTCAGACTCTGAGCGCAGAGCCAGGAGTGGCCACTGGACAGTCACTGGGGCTGGCCCCCAAGTCCCAACTATAATACTTGTCGCCTAGACCAGCGCCCAGAGCGGGAAAGGGGATCGGGGCTTCAATTAGCAGAAGCGCCAGGCGCGGGAGGGGCTCACTGGAGAGGCTACCCCGGGCCGGCCCCGGTGGCCAGATCTAACTGGGACCAAGACAGAAAAGGCCACCAAAGGGCAGCAGGGTCTTCAGTGCCCCCCTCCCTCCCCGGCCTCCCCCTGAGTATCCTCCAAATCAGGCTTTCAAGCGGTTCTCTAAGGCTTCTGTCAAAACCTTGGATGGAGCCCGAAGGATTTAAGGGGGCAGGACCAGGAGCCAGGCGTCACGGGCGGGGGTGCGAGCCTGTGTAGGGGTGCGGGTGATGTCTCTGGAGAGGACTAAAGCACCAGCAGGGGAGAAGGCGGAGGAGTGGGTAAGGGGGGGTGCGAGGGAGTCAGGCTGGCCTTCCGGTGGCCCCAGGAAGCTGATCACGTGCCCCACCCCCACCCCCAGGGGGCTGGGCCCCGGGTGCTGGTGTTGGTGCTGACCCTGACTCTGTGCGCTTGTCTTCACAGCTTGGGAAACAGAAGAAGAAATACATGCCGTACAACCACCAGCACAAATACTTCTTCCTGAGTGAGTCGGGGAGGCAGGGGGCGGGGAAGGCGGGGGACAGGGCTCACCCAACTCCTGAGCACTTTGGGCCAAGGCCACTGCGGGTGGGGGCAGGAAGCTGTCCCCCCACACCACATCGCCACCCCTATCCCACTGTGTCCCTCTCCCCCACTCCCCGTTTCTCCTGAGAGCCAGTGCTCAGCTGGGCTCCGTCTGATTAGACCTCAGACCTCACTCCCAGCCTCTTCAAAGCAAGATCTGGGTCAAGGTCACCCCGTGGGACTCGGCGTGAGGGACAGGGGAGGCCCAGCCCTGGGGCTGGGAGTGGGGAGGAGCAGCAGGCCCCCACATCTGAGAGCTCCCGAGAATGCGGCATGGTGACACAGCTGGGGGGGTGGGCTTTGATGCAGGCGGGGCAAAGGCATCCGCCCTGTGCAGCAGAGAGGGGTCTAAAGCAAAGGAAACGGGGTCTGCTTCCATGCCCTCGTTTAACCCCTCTGCTCCCGTAGCCTGTCCCCGGGAGAGCTGGAGTGACATTGGCCCCGTCGAAGGAGTGAGCGTCTGGGGCCCTTAGGGGTCAACGGAGCCACACACACACACACACACACACACACACACACACACACACACATCTTAGACATACAGTGTCTTCCCTGCGCATGAACACACAAACACCCCCCACATACACGCACACATCTTAGACATACAGTGTGTTCCCTGCGCATGAACACACAAACACCCCCCACACACACACCACACACACACACACACACTCCCATACATTCACAAGCACATTGCCTTACTCAGCATCTTAAACACACACACGCGCGCACACACACACACACCTTACACATACAGTGTCTTCCCTGCATGTGTACACACAGACACACCACACAAACACACACACGTGCCCGTGTGCGCACACACACACCATACTCCCATACACACACAAGCACATTGTCTTACTGAGCATCTTAAACACACACATACACACATCTTTGACTTAGTGTCTTCCCTGCGTGTGAACGCACAAACCATACCACAGAAGCACGCACGTGCCCATGCATGCGTGCACACATACACAGATACATTGCTTTACTCAGTGTCCCCCCCACACACACACTCATCTTAGACACAGTGTCTTTCCCACGTGTGCACATGTGCACACTCTCTCTCTCTCTCTCTTTCTGTTTTACGGTCATACACACACAGCATCTCACAGTATCTTACAGTGTTTTATTCTCAGTGTCGGGGCAGGTGACAGCCAGGACAGGCAGAGGCGGGGGACAGCCCGGCTGGGTCAGGGAAAGCCGTGTGGTCTCCACCCCCTGGGAGGTCTTACCCCTGCTGGACGCTCTCCCCCGGCGCCCGGCAGCCTTCGGCGCCCCTCACGTCTCCCGTCTCCATCCACAGTTGGGCCCCCTGCCTTGTTGCCCTTCTACTTCCAGTGGTACGTCTTCTACTTCGCCGTGCAGCGGAAGAAGTGGGTGGTGAGTGCCCCTGGCCCGGTGCTCACGGCAGGCACTGTCCCCCAGACTGGGGTGCGGGGGGATGGTGCCGAGGCTGCCGCTGCCACATCAGAGCAGTCACAGAGCCAGGTCCAGACCCTCCTTCCGCCCGTCTCTGTAAAGCCGTTTGTGTCCTGCGGCTCAGGGCGGCGTGGCCCACAATCAGGAAACATCAGGAAACTTTTTTTTTGCTATTTTTTTTTTTTCCTTTTTGGGTCACACCCAGCGATATACAGGAGTTACTCCTGGCTCATGCACTCGGGAATCACTCTTGGCGGTGCTCGAGGGACCATGTGGGATGCCGGGGATTGAACCTGGATCAGCTGCGTGCAAGGCAAACAACCTACCCGCTGTACTCTTGCTCCAGCCCCTCGGGAAACTTCTCATCCCGGGATGCGGTTGGGACCGGAGAGGAACTCAGAGTGGAAGTTTCGGGGCCTCTGGAGGGGGCTGACTGCGTGTCATCAGGGAGAGGCACCAGAAAAGCTTTGTAAAGGCCATTTCCTAGCTGGCCTCTGGACAGAACCCTGGGGACTGGGCAGGGGAGGCTGCAGTGCCCGCATGTGACCTGGGCTCTAGCCAGCCTGAGCCTTGGCCTGGAACCCTCATCTGGCTGCATGATAAAGGGCTGGCTGAGGACTGGAGGGGTTGGGAGGAGCTGGGCACAGGGGGGGCCTCAGCCACTGCCGTGAAGAGAGGTAGGGGCGGGGGGGGGGAGTGAGGACTGGGGTGCATTGAGCATGGGAGGGGGAGTGTGACCCTCGAAACTGTGGGACTCTGGGCCAGAGCGATAGCACAGTTGGTAGGGCATTTGCCTTGCACGCGGCCGACCCGGGTTCGATTCCCAGCATCCCATATGGTCCCCTGAGCACCGCCAGGCATAGTTCCTGAGTGCAGAGCCAGGTGTGACCCAAAAGGGGAAAAAAAAAAAGAAACTGGGACTCGGCAGGGAGGAGCCGCTGGCAGTGACGTGGGTACCTGACCTAGGTCTGGGGAGGTTTATGCAGGGCGTGTGTGTTGGGGGGGGGGGTGGCTATGCCCCTGCACAAAAGGAGCATCGTGGGGGAGGGAGGGAGGGGCTCCCTGACCCCCCACATTCCCCACAGGACTTGGCCTGGATGCTCACCTTCTATGTCCGAGTTTTCCTCACCTATGTGCCACTGCTGGGCTTCTCCCGCTTCCTGGGCCTCTTCTTCCTGGTCAGGTAGGAGTCGATGGCAGCATGGGGTGGGGGTGGGGGGGTAGGGATGTGGGCAGAGACCTGCGGGGATGGGGAGCTCAGTGCCGGCTTGGCAGGTGGGCGTGAGATCAGGCCCATTCCTCGGGAGGCCCTTAAGAACTCTGGACACAGCCAGTAGGCCATTTGCCTTCACACGGCGGACCACCCGGGTTTTCGATCCCCGGCATCCCATAGGGTCTTCCGAGGAGCACCTCCAGGAGTAATTCCTGAGTGTAGAGCCAGGAGTAACCCCTGAGCATCACCGGGGGGTGTGCCCCAAAAAGCAAAAAAAAAAAAAAAGAACTGGGGGCTGGAGCAATAGCACAGCGGGTAGGGCGTTTGCCTTGCACACGGCCGACCCGGGTTCGATTCCCAGCATCCCGCTATATGGTCGCCTGAGCACCACCAGGGGTAATTCCTGAGTGCAGAGCCAGGAGTAACCCCTGTGCATTGCCAGGTGTCACCCAAAAAAAGCTAAAAGGAAAAAAAATAACTCCCACCTGACCTGGCGTTCTCTTCCCCCAGGGTCCTGGAGAGCAACTGGTTCGTGTGGGTGACACAGATGAACCACATCCCAATGCACATTGACCACGACCAGAACAAGGACTGGGTGTCCCTGCAGGTGAGGCCCCGCGGTGGGGGTGGGAGGGGCAGCTCCCACACCCTGTTCTCCCCCACCTCACCTGGTCGCCCTCCCCCCCCCTCCCGCACCCCCGTGCCCCCAGGTCCAGGCCACATGCAATGTCCACAAATCCGCCTTCAACGACTGGTTCAGCGGACACCTCAACTTCCAGATTGAGCACCAGTGAGTCGGGAGATTGGGGGTCCTGTGGCGGGGGGGGGGAGGGTCCTGCTGGGGGGGGGGGGGATGGTCACTGACTGTCCCCTGTTCCCCGGAAGCCTGTTCCCCACCATGCCCCGACACAATTACTACAAGGTGGCGCCGCTGATCCAGTCCCTGTGCGCCAAGCATGGCGTCAAGTACACCTCGAAGCCCCTGCTCGTGGCCTTTGGCGACATCGTCCAGTGAGTTCCCGAGCCTGGAGGGGGCGCAGGGGACACGCACGGGGTGGGGGGTGGGGGAGCCTGTCCGTGCTGTCAACGGTGAAGGGTGACCGGCTTAGCCGACCGGCCACAGGGGTGTGTGGATGGGTGGGGCCTCACTGCTCCACTGGGGGCTGGGGGCTGTGCTTGGGTTTGTGGGCTCAGCCCCACCCCCCACCCCAGCAACTGTTCCTGTCTCACCCTGCAGCTCTCTGAGGGAGTCCGGGCAGCTGTGGCTAGATGCCTATCTCCACCAGTGACACAGTGGCCCCACCTGGACGAGCGCGGGACGCGGCCTAGGGGTGTTTCAAAGACCACCAGCACCGTTCCCGGGGGGTACACGGGGGTGTGTGTGGGAGGCACAGATCCCCCCCCCCCCAACCGGACACCCGGCAGCCCCGCGCAGGGGGTGGGCCGGGAAGGGAGTTTCTAGGGTTTTCTTTCTAGTTTTCTTTCTTTCTTTCTAGAGGAGTTGGGCATCAGGAACAGGATGGGCTGAGGACTGGGAACAACCACTGAGCCCAAAAACCAGGAGATTCCTCTGTAAAATTTCCCCCCGCCCCCCAACACACACACAAACACACACACACACCCAGGTCTGCAAGTGCACCTGTCCTGTGGGCCCTTGTGGAGTAAGATCAGAAAGGAGGTGCCCGTGCTGGTATCCTGGTGCCTTGGGCTCCTGGGGAAGCATCCAGGCCAAGGTTTGTGCCGGGGCATCTGGAATATTCACCCCCGAAGGATCCTTGCGCTGAAACTCTGGCCTCTGGCCAAGAGCAAGCATGAGGCCAGAGGCTCTGCCAGAGCAGCTGGTACTCGCCATCCACTGGGGGTGAGGTGGGAAATCTTCAGGGCCCAAAGAGATAGTTCAGTGGGTAGGGTGTTTTGCTTGCATGCAGTTGACCTGGGTTTGATCCCTGGCACCACTTATGGTCGCTCAAACTCTGCCAGGAGTAAGCCCTGAGCACAGCCAAGTGTGGCCCCAATACAAAAAAAAAAATATATAACTCTTCAGGAGCTAGAGCTGGAGATATGGTACAAGGCACTGGCCTGCTGTCTACCTGAGTCCATCTGCCCCAGTTCTCTGCGCACTGTCCAGTGACACCGGAGTGTGCAGACAGGCAAGCCTCCAGCACAACCGAAGAACGGGACTAAACCGGAGTGTTTGGTGTGCTCCCGAGAAGGGAGTCCTCTCCTAGTCTGCTCCCCAGAAAGAAAGGGCCCCTCACTTCCTGCCTGCCATTCCGCCTTAAAAACAACAGACCAAGGGGCTGGAGAGATAGCACAGCGGGGAGGACGTTGGCCTTGCATGCGGCTGACCCAGGTTCGATTCCCAGCATCCCATATGGTCCCCCCCTACCCCCCCTGAGCATCACCGGGAGTAATTCCTGAGTGCAGAGCTAGGGGTAACCACTGAGCATTGCCGGGTGTGACCCAAAAAGAAAAAAAAAACAACAACCCAAGAGGCTGAGCTGGGAAATGCTGAATTAGGCGGGAGACTCAAGGCCGTGAGGCAGTTTCGAGAACTTGAATCATGTGACAGGACCATTTAGAGCAGTAGTGGAGGGTTAAACATACCCAGAGGTGTTGGGGGTTTGGGGGGTTTCGTAGTTTTGCTTTTGAGCCATGCCTGGTGGGGGCAGGGAGTGAACCCGGATCGGCCACATGCGAGCACCCGGTTCTCAGCCGGAAGCAGGAAGGAGAAAAGGCCAAGGCTGGGCTCCCCACAGCCTGGCGGGCACGGGAGATGCTGAGAGCAAGACGGGGGGGGGGGGGGGGGGGGGGGAGGTCACGTGGTGTGAGTAGCCAGGGTGTGTCTGAAGGTCCTATGGGCGTTGGTGTGTCTTAACGGCAACACCCAGAGGAAACGCTGTTGGGACTACAGGCTGGTCAAGACAAAAAGGGGCGCGTGGGAGGTAGAGGGAGATGAAAGATGGAAAATCGGTGGTTGAAGGAATGAAGCTCTTTGCCTCGTGCCCTGGAGAGCCTGGTTTGTAGCAGCTCGGGCAGGAGTGCTCCCTCTGGGGTGATCCCCTCCCCATCCGGTCAGCCTCCAGCATCCGTAACGGTCCCGTGCTGTGAGCCCAGGCTGGCCAATCGGAGCAAAGCCAGAGAGGCCGACAGGGCTAGGTGCCACCTTTGCGAATTTGCCTCCAAGTGGTTCAACCAGTCGCCTTATCAAGCGGGTCCTGCCCTGACCACAGAGGCATATACCTGTGGCAAGACAGCGCCACTGTTCCTGGCGGTGACACAGGGTCTCTGTTCCAACCGCGCCCGCCACAGAACCCGGCAGGACTCAACGCTTGTACCCGCTTCCTGAATGTTATGCTCTGTGTCTTGGTTAGTTCTGATCTGCCTACATCCCGGAGGTTCGTTTTCTTTGCCCTCGGTCCATGTCACTGCAACTCTGCCAGGTGCCGATTTTGTTGCAACTCAATGAAGCAAAATAGAAAAGCTGCTTTGGACCAAATCCAGGCTGTTCCATTTGTGGCGCGCGGGTGTGTGTTCCCAGAAGTCTGCCTCTCTGGGGAGTGCCTTTTCTGGGGGTGGTTGAGGGGCGGATGCTCGGGACCAAACATCATCAAACATGCAGTGCCGGGGATCGAACCTAAGTCAGGGGCTGGAGGGATAGCACAGCGGGGAGGGCGTTTGCCCTGCCTGCGGCTGACCCGGATTCAATCCCCAGCATCCCATATAGTCTCCCAAGCACTGCTAGGAGTAATTCCTGAGTGCAGAGCCAGGAGTCACCCCTGTGCATTGCCGGGTGTGACCCAAAAAGCAACAAAAAACAACCTAAGTTGGCCACATGTGAGACAAGTGCTGCCTTGTACTGCCTCCCCAGGTCTGAAGTAGCTGTTTGGGGATTTTTTTTTTGTTCTCATCTGGCAGTGCTCAGAGCTTACTCCTGACTCTGCTTTCAAGAGCCACTCCTCCGGATGGGCTTGGGGTTTGAGGGGTTGAACCCGGGTCAGTCACATTCCAGGCAAGAGCCTTACCCACTGTATTATTACTCTGGCCCCATGTCCTAGCTTCTTGAATTGGACCATATGAGGACCATCTAACAATGCAACCATAAAGAGTATAGCAGGAATTTTGCTTGTTTGTTTTGCTTTTTGGGTCACACCCGGCGATGCTCAGGGGTTACTCCTGGCTCATGCATTCAGGAATCACTCCTGGCGGGGCTCGTGGGATGATATAGGATATCAGGGTCAGTCGCATGCAAGGCAAACGCCCTAACTGCTCTGAACCATTAAAAAAAAAAAAAAACCTCATTTGTAATCTCCAAATTGGGTAGCCTTCATAGAATTTGGCTAATCTGCCTCAGAGTTGCAGAGCAAAGCAATCCATCAACTTCCATTCTACTAAAACCTTTTCTTCTAAGCAACCATGTTAGAACGTGCTCAATAGAAACTTGCAGAGGGGCTGGGGGCTGAAGAGATAGAACAGTGGATAGGACGTTTAGCTTGCATGAGACCAACGTGGGTCCAATTCCTGGCAGCCCATATAATCCCTATCGCCATCATGCACGGTTCCTAAACTGAGCCAGGAGTAACCCCTGAGCTCTGCGGGTGCAGCCCAAAACAAGCAAAAATTTGCAGGATAATACAGGGGTGAAGGCACTGAACTTGCACGTGAAGACCCAGGTTTGATCCTTGAGCACAGTCTGGTGTGTTTCCAAAACCCAAAATCAAACTTGTGAATCTGTTTTCCTGGCACTGTACCATGATCACGGTCACGGTCATGGTTCTCCCGTTGTTCATCAAGTTGCTCGAGCGGGCCCAGTAACGTCTCCATCATGAAACTTGTTGTTACTGTGTTTGACATATCGAATACGTTACGGGGCGCTTGCCAGGCTTTGCCGTGCAGGCGAGATACCCTCGGTAGCTTGCCGGGCTCTCCGAGAGGGGCGGAGGAATTGAACTCGGGTCGGCCATGTTGGCCGCTTGTAAGGCAAACGCCCTACCACTGTGCTATCGCTCCAGCCCGGGGTAGTACCATGTTCAATAAGCTTTTAAAGGCTGAGAAACTGAAAATGAAATGGCAGCCTATCACTGGCTCAGTAGCACAGTTACAGACGACTCTGGAAGGGGGAGTGCTGTGAGCACAGTGCACCCTTGCATTAGAAAGTGAAGTCCAAGTCAGTTTCCGAGCTTGGTTCAATCTGAAAAGATGAGTCTTGTTTGTTAGTCATCACTTGCAGAAGCAGTGACCAACCCTAAGCGCCTGACTCTGAGGATAAAATTTTCTGGCTTCAGGGGCTGGACAATAGCACAGTGGGTGGGGCATTTGCCTTGCACATGTGGCCGACCCGGGTTCGATTCCCAGCATCCCATAGGGTCCCCTGAGCACCGCCAGGAGTGTAATTCCTGAGTGCAGAGCCAAGAGTAACCCCTGAGCATCGCCGAGTGTGACCCAAAAAGCTTTAAAAAAAAAAAAGAAATTTTTTTTTGGCTGCACCAGTAAAAAAAGCCCACTAGTTATGGCGACATCCTGGAGGAAAGCCCCCCACTCCCACCTTCTTGCTTCCAAAGCTCTTAATCCGAGATTTCATGTACAGCTTCCTTTGAAAATCAAGTTACTGCAGGGGCCAGAGTGGTCGTACGTCAAGTAGAGCCCTTGCCTTGTACACAGTGGGCGGGGCTGATCTCCAACACCACAAACGGTTCCTCCAGCACAGCCAGGCAGGACACCTAAGCACAGAGCCAGAAATCAATCCTGAGCACCACCGGGTACGACCCAAAAGCCAAGAAAGTGGACAGTTCCAGGGTTTGGACATGTATCTTGCACGTACCTCACTGCGGTTCAATCCTCAGCACCACAAGTGCTGCTGAGTGATCCCCGACCAGAGGCAGAAATAAGCCTGGGGTGTGGACCACACCTGCCCACACAACTAAAAAAAAAACCATTGAACATGGGGACTGGGAGAAGGCCCCAAGAAACTGGGCTGTTGTCCTTGTTTTGCCCACAGGCATCTCTCATTCAACCACTGGAAAGGGCTTCTGACACCGCCTGGCTGTGTGCCAACCCTCTGCAAATAAAAACCAAGTCCTCAATCTTCCCACCTGCATTGTGTCAAAACGCCACGAACAATTGGGCTGGCAAGAAAGTGCAGCGGAGCTGAGATTAGTATCAGGAATTTTACTCTGTGGCTTGGAGGCCAGCCACACATGCTAGGGGAAAAGGGAGCTCAGATAGCGATCAATCACAATCACGATCACAACCATCCTGTTATTCGTCGATTGCCTCGAGCAGACCCCAGTAACGTCTCCTTCGTCTTAGCCCTGAGATTTTTTTAAAAAGTGCCATATTCAAGGCTCTTTCAGAGTTAGGAGAATGAGACCCTTCATTGTTACTGGTGTTTGGCATATTGGGTACGCCACGAGAATTTGCCAGACTCTGCCATGTGGGCAGGTTACATTCGGTAGCCTGCCAGTTTGTCCAAAGTAGGAATGAGATGAAAGATGTCGCATGGCCGCGAATGTGACCACGCACTTCCCAGAGTTGGGTTTTATAGTCTCTGAGTCTTGGCCGCTGATGGGATTACACGGCGCGAGGGGGCCAGTTGGTGGGTGTGACCCCCGCCTACTGGAATTTGGAGGATCTGGGTGGAGGATGCTCAGCCCCGATGCAAGTAGGCTTGGAGATCTCAGCCCCAGAACCCGCGTGCCTTTGTTCCTCTGCCGGCACCTTCATGTGTGCAGAGAGTGGTCTCAGCATGGTGGTGGCTGGTTCTGGAGGTCTTCAGCTGCCGGAGCCCTGGTCGGGGCAGGGAGGAAAACTCAACCCGCTCCCCTCCAAGGGGCCCCAGCGAGGACAGCCAGGCGCAGGGGCAGGAGACTCTGCCAGATAGAGAAGGGAGCACCAAATAAAGGGTGTTGGGAGGATCCTCCCAGGATGGGAGAAGCATGCTGAAAGTAGACTATAGACCAAACATGATTGCCATTCATTGCCTCTTTTGCAAACCACAGCACCCAAAAGGAGAGCGAGAACAAAGGGGAATGCCCTGCCACAGAGGCAGGGTGGAATGGGGGGGGATGGGAGTGGGAGGGATACTGGGATCTGTGGTGGTGGGAAATGGGCACTGGTGGAGGGATGGGTATTGGATCGTTGTATAATTGAAACCCAAGCACAAAAATTTGTAAGTCTACAACTGTACCTCATGGTGTCTAATAAAAATTAAAAAAAAAAAAAAAGCGCAGTGGATGACATGTTTGTCTTGCATGCGGCTGACTCTGGTTTGATCCCTGGCACTGCATATGGTCCTCTGAGCCCGCCAGGAGTGATTCCTGAGTGTGCGCCAAGAGGAAGCCCTGAGCATCACTGGGTGTGGCCCAAGGGGGGAAAAAATATTGGGCTAGTGGGGTTGGAGTGATAGCTCAGCGGGTAGGGCATTTGCCTTGCATATGGCCGACCCGGGTTCAATTCCCAGCATCCCATATGGTCCCCCGAGCACAGCCAGGAGTAATTCCTGAGCCCATGAGCCAGGAGTAACCCCTGGCCATCACTGGGTGTGACCCCCCAAAAAAATATTGGGCTAGAGCCATAGTAGAGTTGGTAAGGTGCCTGCCAGTCACGCAGCCTATGTGGGTTCGATCCCCCACACACCATCTGCTCCTCGGAGCCTCACCAGGAGTGACCCCTGGGCAGAGAGGCAGGCATAAGCCCTGAGCACTGCTGAGTGTGGCTGAAAAGCAAAACAATTTGACACTCGGGGCTGGAGCCATAGCACAGCAGGTAGGGCTTTTGCCTTCCATGCAGCAGACCCGGGTTCGATTCCCAGCATCCCATATGGTCCCCCAAGCACTTGATCACTTGACTTCTCATTAATCATCGATTTGCTTGAGAGAGCGCCGGTAACATCTCCCTTGGTCCCTGTTGCGTGATAGTGTAGCCCAATGGCGTCTGTTCATTCTAGGAACACAAAGAGCCTCAAACCCATCGTTCAGGGTCTTGATGAAGAAGTCTGACCATCTCATAGGTGGGCGGACAAATGATCTTTTGACGTCTGGTGGATTCCAGTCGGTAAAAGCTCTAGTCCAGTGGTCGTCGCCAAATCTCATTACGTGTCCAGCCCATCTGATTTTCAACGCCTTGGCAAACGAGACAGCATCCCTGATTCTTGACCTTCGATGGAGGTCGGAATTCCGGATTCTTTCTCTCTTTTGAGTGAAATGTGATATTCCAAGCATAGCTCTTTCGATTCCTCTTTGGGAGACCCGAATAGCGTTCTCACTCTGTTTTTGTAGGGCCCAGGTCTCTGAGGTATGTTAATGCAGGAAGAACAGTGGAATCAGAGATGTGCCCAGAGCCGGAGGTTCTTGGTCCTCTTAGCTATTTCTTTGACACTCTTGAAGGCGTTCCAAGCCGCTCTCTTCCTCCTGCGCAACTCAGGTGCCAGGTCATTCATCATGTTGGCTTCTCAACCTAGGTACACAAGCACTGCCAGGAGTAATTCCTGAGTGCAGAGCCAGGAGTAACCCGAGTGCAGAGCCAGGAGTAACCCCTTAGCATCACCGAGTGTGACCCAAAAAGCACTGTAGCACTGTCCTCCCATTATTCATCGATTTGCTCGAGTAGGCCCAGTAACGTCTCCATGGTGAGACTTGTTAACGTGTTTGGCGTATCGAATACGTCACGGGGAGCTTGCCAGGCTTTGCTGTGTGGGCGAGATACTCTCAGTAGCTTGCCAGGTTCTCCGAGAGGGGCGGAGGAATCAAACCCGGCTCGGCCGGGCTGGCTTCATGCAAGGCAAATGCCCTACCGCTCTGCTACTGCTCCAGCCCCCCTAAAAGTAAATAAATAAAAATCTGACACTCAGCTTGAGTGTCTTGTTCTTGTCATTTGTAACCAAACGACAGTGACAGAAATGCTACGAAACTACAAACTCCAACGGTAAACACTGATTTTTCTCAGGAATTTAAGACTTTCAAGCACAAAAAAATTCCATCTATATGAGAAAACGGCTCGAAGAACATCATGTCCTAGAACAAGCGCAGTGCCCAGGGGCCACTTCCCGCCGTTCTGAAGATCAAGTCTGGGACACCAACCCCTGCTCCCACAGCCCCTGTTCCTGAGAGGCAGCTTT